TTCTTTCTTTCTTTCTTTCTTTCTTTCTTTCTTTCTTTCTTTCTTTCCTTCTTATTTTCCAATGGGGGTAGGGAGGTAGGAGGAAGAGAAAATAGATTTTTATTAATAAAAAATTAATAACAAAAACACACTAACTCAGAGAGGTAGTTAGTATCAAAGTAGAAAAAGGCTCATAGAACTTAAATGACTTGCCCAAGGTCACACAGCTCATTAATTGGCAAAGTCTGTACTTTAACTCTACAACTTATGTTTTCCTGACTAATCTGCATGCTCCAGAGGGAAAAGGAGTAGTGAAGCAGGACTTCCCATTTGATCATCTGACTATTTGCTCACATCTCAATATGGGCTTGTCTCCAACTCAATCTCTGGCCTCCTTTGGGAAGTGGTGGTACCCTGCATGCATTGATGAACATTCTCACACTCAGTCATATCCTTTATATTCCACTGAGTCTCACTGGAGGTCATCATTCAAACTCTATTCCCCACTCCTACCTCCCAATTTATCATTCCCATCCCCCTTAACCCTTCCACCACAAAGTTTCAAACAAATACTGCCCAGCCCTTTCACTCTGCCCTGTGGAATGTCTGTTTCATAGGCAACAAATTTTCCTTCATCCTAAATCTTTTCATCTTAGATTCCTTCCATCTATTAGTTATTACCGAAACCTGCTTCCCTGGTCACTCTTTCCACTGATGGTTGCACTTTCACTTGTTTTCAGTTCATTGGTTGAGGTGGGGGAGTTGGAATACTCCTTGCTCCTTATTGCCACTTCCAGGTTCTCCCCCTACTGTTATTAGTCAATAACTTCTTCCTTTGAGGTTCATGCTATTTGTATCTACCTCCCAATAAAAACTTGGTGACTGTTGTCTAAAGACATCTCCTCTCCCCACCACAGGCCACTACCCTTTCTTCCTCAATGAGTTCAGTATATGGCTCACAATTTTTCTCTCCTCTTCAACTTCTTCCCTTGTACTAGGAGACTTCAATGTACATATTGACTCTCCCTCAATCACCCTAACTACTCAGTTCCTTAACATGCTCACTTCCTGTGACTTACTCCTCTACCCCACCTTAGCCACATATGGAGATGGTCACATCCTTGATTTTGCCATCACCCACAAATGTACCACTATCACGTTCAAGAATTCCAAAATCATCTTATTCAACAATAATCAGGTTTTTCACCTTTCCCTCTGCCTCTCCTTACCAAATGCTTACTTTTTGTACGCATCATGATATCCAATCTCTTGACATCTCAATTCTTTCCCAGGCCATCTCCCCTATACTAGCCACTCTCCTTTTTTTCCCTCTATCTTGACTCCTTGGTGAACCAATTCAATTCTAAACTGTCCTTCTCTCTTGAATCCCTCACCTCCTTATCATTTTGTCAATTACAATTATGCCATGCTAAGCTTCAACCTTGGATCACTTCCACCATTCACCAATTTTGCTCTAATACAGATGCTGCTGAATGAAAGTGAAGAAAAATCATGCAACCATTCTGACTGGGTCCACTACAAATCTATGTTACACCTCAACTGGGTCCTTATTGCTGTGACACAATCTTTCTATATCTGCCTTACCAGCTCACTATTCTATCTCCACAGTAGCTCTTCCAAACCTTTTCATCCCTCCTCAAACCTCCCATAGTTACCCCTCTCTTCACCCTTTTAGCTCAGAATCTTACATCATATTTTACAGGAAAAAATGAAGCCATCTGCTGTTAGCTTTATCTTCTCCCCTATTCTACTCTTGCATCACTCAGACGCCTTCTGCCACTATACCTTCCTTTACCCTTGTTGTACATGAAGAGGTGGCCTTGTTTTTCAAATTTTCTTGAAATCTCTCTCTTTATATCTAGGTCATTATCCATTTTTATCTTATCTTGGTACATGGACTAAGATATTGGTCTATGCCTAATTCCTGCCAGACTGCTTTCCTGCTTTCCCAACAATTTTTACCAAATAATGAATTCTTATCCCCAAAACTTAAATCTTTACTCTTGGAATGAAATGAGCAGAACCAAGAGAATGTTATATACAGTAACAGCAATATTGTTTTAAGAATAACTTTGAGCAACTAAGTCATTTTGACTATTATAAATACCCAAATTAACTACAAAGGACATATGAAGGAAGACACTATCTGCATTCAGAGAAAGAACTGATAAATAGAAGTGTATAGAATGATTTTACATATATATGCATACACACACATACACACATATTTGTGTCTAATGGCAGCCATCTCTAGGGTGGGGGGGAGGAAGGAAAAAGAAAAAAAAGAAATTTATATGATAACTTTATTATATTTTAAAAGCAATGGCAAGTTGTACATAGATTTGCAGTTTCATGCGCAATCATCTTTTTTTATTCTACTATGTTTGGAAATGCCCATTTTATTTCTTATGTTCAAAATAAAATGAATAAAATTATCAAAGAAAGAAGTGGCCTTAATCTTTACCAAGGCTAACCCCCTCTACCAGCGCAAGTGATCACATTCCTTCCCTTCCCTTCCAATAGATTGTCCCTTCTGTCATCCCCATGCCATCACTTATTTTCAACCTCTTCCTGTCTAGTGGCTCATTATTTACTGCCAACAAATCCTCAAAGAAACCTCATTTGATCCTTGTGTTCCCACAAACTATTGTTCTATATCTGTTCTGCCTTTTGTGGCTCAACTCCTTGAAAAAGCCATCCACAATAGATGCTTCCATTTTCTTCTCATGGTCTTCTTAGTCCCTTATAATCTGGCTTCCAACTTTATAATTTCACAAAATGATAAAGCTATCAATGATCTCTAGCTTGCCAAATCCAATGACCTCTTCCCAATCCTCATTCTCCTCAACCTCTCTGCATCATCTGACACCTATGATCATCCTCTCTTCCTTGGTACTCTTTTTTTCTAGATTTTCAGGACACTATTCTCTCCTAGTTCTCCTCCAGTTTATCTGAATGTTCCTCAGTCTCCTTTGCTGGATCTTCATCCAGATTATGCCTCTAATTGTAGGAGTCTCACAAGGTTCTATCCTGGACCCTCTTTAATTCTCCCTCCACACTACTTCACCTGGTGACTTTATCAGCTCCCATGTATTTAATTACCTCATGCTAATTACCTATTTAATTACCTGTGCTAATGATTCTCAAAATTACCTATCCTGCCCCAAACTGTCTGCTGACTTCCATTGTCACATCTCCAACTACCTTTCAGACATCTCAAACTGGATATCCAGTAGCCAACTCAACATGTTCAAAACAGAACTCACTATTTACCCCATAAGCCCTCCCACCCCCTAACTTCCTTATTACTGTCAAAGGCAACACCTTCCTCCCTGACCCTCTGAGTCACAACCTAGATGTCATTTTCAACTCCTCACTCTCTCTCACCCTTCAAATCCAATCTGCTGTGAAGGCCTATTGATTTTATCTTTGGATTATCTCTTGAACATGCCTCCTTATTTATCTTTTCTGACACTGCCAACTCTCTAGTGCAAGAACCTCATCACCTCACACCTGGATTATTTCAATAGCTTGCTGGTGGATTTCCCTGCCTCAAGTCCCTCCTCATGCCAATTCATCTTCTATTTAGCCAGTAAAGTGATTTTCCTAAAGTGTAGATCTGATCACTCACCTGTAGTGGCTTTCTATCATCTCCAGAATCAAATACAAAATGCTCTGTCTGGCATTCAAAGCCCTTAATAACCCGGCCCCTTCCTACCTCTTCAGTCTTCTTACACCTTACTCCCTGCCATGTACTCTTTGGTCAAAT